TGTTGTAAACCCCTACCAAAAAAAAAGGTCCCCCCGAGATGAAAAATAGGGCAAAACAACATCGTTTTAAAAAGAAGCGCTTTTATTTTAGCTGGCCCAGTGACACAGTGCAGATGGAATTTGCAAAGCTGTGCAACTGAGTTAGAAGTTTGAGTGATTTTTATAGTTCATTTATGATTAGCTCATTGATCATTAAGTACATTGATCATTAAGTTCATAGCGATGAGAAACAGAAACAAGGTGGGCCTTTGTTCCCCTTTGCTTGAGGTCAGAGGCACTTCACAGTGGGTGGTTAGCCAGTTCATAGCCCTTGGTCTGCCAATTCCAGGAACATTTGTCTCTCATAAAGGGAACACAGCATCATTTGTCTCTTACAAAGGGAACAAAAGTTGACACAGCAAACAGGTTACTAAGGTGTGACGCATACAGAACAGTATGGCAATATCTCAGTTAACTTATAACTAATTTAGAACAATGTGGTCAGTGCTCCAGGTACATGGTTACGAGGGTGATAAGCATAGAGCATGACAAGCTAATGGAAACCATGGGCAAAGAAAGAGCTGAGGGAACGGAGGAAATCAAGGTCTCAGCAAACACAGAACGTCAATAAAGAGCTACAAATGATAAAAGGAAACAACTCTGAGGATAGGAAGACAGTATCTGAAATGAAAAGTTCATGAGAGGGTTTCAAAAGTAGGTTTGACTCAGAAGAAAAACAAGCTGTGAAATTAAAGAGAGGTCAGTTTGAAATTACCTTGTCTAAGGAGGAAAATGGTGCAGAAAATTTAACAGAGTTTTAGCACACGATCAGAGAGACACAGAACACCATCAAGTGTGCCAACATATGCACACTGACGTGCCAGAGGAGGCAGAGCAGAGCGGGTAGGAAGAGTATGCAAAAAAAATGCTACTGAAAACATCGCAAACTAAATAAAAGACAAAACACAAAACAAACTCCAAGCGGAATACACTCAAAGGACTCACACTGAAGCATGTTATAATCAAACAACAAAGGCCATGAAGCAAGCCCAGGGAAGACATCATCACACACAAGAAACCGTAGCACGAAAACAGCCAAGCCAGCTCAGCGGCACAGTGCCTGCCTGACGCGCGCAAGATCCTGAGTTTGATTCTCAGTACCAAAAAAAGGAAAGAAAACAATCACCTTCTTAGAAAAGGCCAGCACGCAATGGCATCACACAGTTAAAACACTCACAGGAAAAAAAATCAGTCAAGAATTTTAAACCAAGTAAAAGCATTCTTCAGAGATGAAGACAGTATTAAGACACTGAAAAATAAAAAGCCCCAGAGGTCCACTGCTAGTGGTTTTGCTCCATAAAAAATGCTAAAAGGAATCCAAGCAGAAAGGAAAGGACAGTAGAAGACTCAAGCCACACCAAGAAATAAAGAGCAACATAAAGGTAACTACACTGCATTTTTATTTTTATAAAACTCCTGTTTCTTTCCTGTAAAAACAAAGATATAGTATAAGACCGCAAATTATAATGTCTAGAGTGCTAATTTGTGAATTACCATTACACCATAAAGAAAAAGAGACAGAGCTATGCAGGAGCAAATTTTTTATTTCTACTGCACCTAAGGTGATGCCAACTCAAAGTATTAGGGATCCTCGTTTCACTGATTCCGTATTTGTTTTTTTGTTGTTGTCTTTTTGAGACAGGGTCTCTCTGTGCAGTTCAGGCTGGCCTTGAGCTCACTTTGTAGCCAAGGCTGGTCTCGAACTTACAACGATCCTCCCAGTCAGCCTCCCGAGTGCTGGGATTACAGGCATGAGCCACCACGCCCGGCTGGTTCCATATTTGTTAACGGTAGGTAACTCGGCAAAATTTATTTGTAAACCTAAAATCAAAATTATGTAATACTTTTTAAAGTGACATTTCAAACAAAAGAACAATTAGAAGGCACAAGCCAATATAAAGAAAAAGTAAGGGATGGCTCACACTGTAATAAATCATATCACCTTAACTCTTAAACAGAGAAATAGTGAGCACCTGAAACACAATCAACAGACTTAGACAAGCAAGTGACTTCAGTGAGTTAGGAAATAGGAGAAGCAACGCCAGCCCGAGCTACTAGACAGCTAATGGCAACAGTATCCAAAATAGTTAGAATAGGTTAAAATACATGCTAAGAAATTTCACTGTGAGCAAGTTAAGCCTTGAAGTAGCTATGGATCGCCCAAGAAAACAGGTGCAATCAACAACTGCAAATGGAGAAAAAAAATTCAGCAAGGAGACTGGATTCAAGGGATGAAATGGCTTAAAGCATCAAATTATAAGAAGTCAGTGAAGCCAGGTAGGCAGTTTACTCCTCCTACATCATACGTAGAAGAGCGAAAGACAAAATCAGAGAGGTATACTGGGTAGTGTGTGTAAGGAAGCTTTTAGAAGAGGCAGTAGAAGGAACAAGAACAGAAGGGACATGATGCAGGTATGTGTGGAATAACACAGTGAATCTCTTTAGTCTGTATCATTAATATGTTTTTTTTTCTTTTTTATTGGTACCGGGGATCGAACTCACAACTGCCTGCTTGCAAGGCAGGAGCTTATGCTGCTGAGCTAAATCCCCAGCCCCCATTAATATGTTAATAATTATAAATTTTTAAAAAAGGTTTCTTACTGAATTAACTGAAGAATTACTGGGAAAATTGAGAACAACTGTCCAGGGACGAGGAGGGAACAGCACAAAGAAATTGGTGCATCTGAATCCACTCGTCAAGGCAGTCCTTCTTACCTAGCACTCTCACTACAGTTCAACTAGGTAATAATTAGTCACTTCTAGTAGATTTCCTCATAAGGAGGTCATCAGTGGTCACAGTCACGTGAGCTGCAGTGCAGATGCGAGTCAGCCTGCAGAGAACAGAGAGTGGGCAGAGTAGCTAGAGAATCAGCCAAGCAGGGAGCAAAAGAAAGAAATGGGAGGAGAAAGGGGGAGAGAAACACAGCAATCCCTTCATGTGAACACTCGCAACTTATGTAAAAGATTAGGTTCCACAAGTGACCAGTTGTAACAGCTGAAAAACAGTCAGACTTTGTATTTCCAACAACACAACCTGAAAAGCCCCCAATATCCAGACTGATACCTTAGCAAAAGGAGAAGAAAAAGAAAGAACAAAATAGAACAAAAATAAATATTTACTGATAATTTGTCAATATTTATCAAAAACCATTATAGAATATGACAGACTAAAACATATTGTCCAAATGAATTTTAAAAATTCAGCAGTTCCACACACAGACATGTGTCTAAGAAGAATGAGACCATTTATTTACAGAAGTTTTATAGACCAGTATTCCCAGCAGCTTAATTGACAATCAGCCAGAAGCTGAAACAACATCAGTGCTCCCCTAGACAGGAGTAGAAAACACACTGTAGCAAAACCATAGGACACAGCACCCTTCAGCAATGAAAGGGAACTAGACACCAGAGCAACAGCGATGCATCTCAAAACCCTTTCACCAAACCAAAGAACTACATACGATCCGTGTTCCATGCAAGCCAAGAAAAAGAAAAACAACACAGATTACCAGAAAATAAATCAGTCTGGTGCTGGTGAGGGAAATGACAAGCAGTGAGTACAAGGCGACTTCCAGGAGTGAGGAAACACTCTGTACCGCAACTGTGTCATAGTTACACAGGGGCACACTTGTTTCTGTTTTTGTTTTTGGTACCAGGGATCCAATCTCACACTTGCCAGACAGGCACTTGTGCTGCTGAGCTAAACCCTGTCACCAGGAGCACACTTCTACCAAAACTCTCTGGACTGTGCTTTACATAGGAGCATTTCATTATATGCAAATTAAGCCACAATAAAGTTGTTTTTTAAAAAACCGATCCAGGGGGCTGGGGATTTAGCTCAGCGGCATAAGCACCTGCCTTGCAAGCAGGCAGTCGTGAGTTCGATCCCTGGTACCGATAAAAACGAAAAAGACCAAAAATATATATATACATTAAAAAACCGATCCAAATACTTGTTTATAAGAAACACACCTATGATACAAGGGTGGGGATAAATATAGGTAGGAAAAATAAAGACCTGCCAAGTATTAATAACTAAAAGAATGCTAGTGTATTTACATTAGTGCCAGACAACACTGATTTTGAGCAAAAGGGCATTTTTATAGGTAAAGAGTAACTCTAAATAATGTAAGTAATCAGTATCAAAACTGATTCAAATACTTGTTTATAAGAAACACATTATAATACAGTAAGTTTTGTTGTTTTAGTACCAAACAACTTTTTAAAATGTACATTCTTTTCATGTACCTATGATAGAATTTTGCACTGTTTTTTTTTTTTGTCTTTTTCTTTTTTTTTTTATCGGTACCAGGGATCGAACTCTGTGATAGAATTTTAAAAACTGATAATATATTAGGCATATAGTACTTCTCAATAAATTTTTAAAATATATTAAAAATCTCATATTCTATAATAAAACAATCTGGTTAAAAATCAATAGCAAAAATATAACTCCCTAAAATCCAAGTTATATAACATTTAAAATAATTCATGTTTGACCCAGGAATTATACAGAAATCACATGAAAATTAATAAGTAATTAAAACTGAGTAATTAGCATATTATCAAATCTATGAAACATGGGTAAAGAATTACCTAGAGAGAAACTTGACAATTAAATTTCAGAGTTCAATAATTCTGAAAACTAATGACCTTAACAATCCAACATAAATTACAAAAAAAAGGTTTTTTTAAAATAGTAGTATATTAGTGAACTAGAAAACAGATACAGATAGATAGATAGTAAGTAAAAACCATAGGCTAAAAATTAGTACTACAAAAACACTAAAAATCCTGACCATCTCTTTGTGCAATTGGTCAAGAAAAAAAAGCACAAACACATACTGTTACGAATGGAAAAGGAGCTTGGGCTGAGAAAGAAAGCACAGAACTTCTCAGTAAGCCTGAGCGTCCACTGGTCACCACGTGTCCCTCTTTACACTATCATACGTTCTACTCACCGCCAGCAGAAGACGCATTTATTTGCACAGGCCAAACTCGGAGTGGTTTCCATGCAGCGATGGCTTTCGATGCCGTAGAATGTATGTTTATAGCAACCTCCTCTCCCTCGAAGCATGGACTATGACAAACAAAAGAGAAATCACAGTCTAAACAAAATCATCGAAGAAACAGAACACCAAGACTTTTAAGAAGATAGCCATAAACAGCCCTACTGATATCTACAAGATGCAGAAACTTAATATTCTACCATTACCGAGTTTTGACAGTGCTTTGGGTTTCCTAAAACCAAAAAAATTTATAATTCATGAATTCCAAAAGCTCTGTTAAGGAAGGATTTTTGACACCTCCAAGTCAAAATCCATCAAAACTCCTCACATAGTATTAGTACGATGATACATAATGTCAGGAATAGACAACAAGCTCTCAAGAACTGGAGCCCATGCTCATATGCAGAAGGAACCCCGCTCTGAATCCGGGTGGAGGGAAGGGAAGGCATGTTGCAGCAGAATCCCTGTTGACTCAGTGGGCAGACTTTCAGCGTGTCTGAGACCAGTGAGGGGACACGTAGCACATACAAGCATAAGACACAGGGTAATCCCAACACTACCTAATAAGAATAATAAAGCCATGTGCCCTGAGTGATACAAATCATGTGTACGTAAGTATAAGAAGAAGGTAATCTGAAGAAATATCCCAGATCAAATCAGAGTTGGGATCAAAATAATATTGATCTTTTAAAAACACTGTCAAACATTAATCAAAGACTTGCCCACTATTACTGAATCTGAGGCTTCCCCTACTCGCTGAGGGCCCCGAGGGTGAGCTTCCAGGCCAGCTACAAGTAAAGCCATCCTAAGCTGACTTTGTTCAGGCTCCTCAAGGACAGTATTCCCTACAGGATGTAAAGGGGAGCCTAGAATTACCCATGTTTATGTGCCCCTTTCCTCTCAGTGACCTAAAACGCAAGATCTAGGAGTTTTCAGATGACCCTGCTAAGCACACTGAGGTCTCCAGGGCACTTACTCAGACCTGTAAACCGGACTGAGGAGCTGAAGTGTTATGCTTAATTCACAGACTTCTAATGAGAAACAATGGGTACAGACTTTAATCTGTGAGTCTCGTGAGTAGATTTATAGATACCCACGCATACAAATTTTTAGAGTAGGTTTAAATAAAGCCTCGCCAGCACTGTTGTAAAGGACAGTTTCCGGGTGACTGGACAGAGAACTCAAGATGTCTCAAAGACCTCTTTGTCCTCAGGCTGCAATTTCTTCCGGACTGCACCTGCCTGTCTATGCCTGGAGGTGATAGACCTCTTTTGCTGGCTGGGATTTTAGAACTCTTGATTCAGAATCACTTATTAGAAAGTAAACCCTAAAGAATATAATTGGAACACTTTTATTTTATCTCTCAGCCTCTTTCAAATGGTTAAAATATAGCCACCCACGCCCTTTGATTACTGGTTTCCTTTCCTGTTTGGCAGTACAGTTGGGACGGGTTATGACTTCCATCTCTGGGGGCCTGTTGTGCTGAACCTGGGAAAGTTCTTGATCTTGTCTTTCTGCACCTGAGATGGTTGGGATTTAGTTCTTGTGCCATTCATAGTGCCACTTGTCTGTCCCTTCCCCACTGCCCTGCCCCTGAGAAATAACACAGTTCACAACAGATCCAGGGCAAATTCTCTCCTCCATTGCTGCTGAATTCCAGGAACATGATTCCGGAATGGTGAAATCCCCTCCCTAGGACCCTTTCAGAGTGAAGCTGATTCAAGAACTGGTCTAGATTTAATCCTGACAATCTCAAAGAATATACGTATAAGTTTTAGTCCAAAACTTACACAAGTTTTATCTGCCTGTTGGTCCTTAGGCAAAACTGGAGATTAAATCTCGGATGCTGACCACTCTGTTTTCATGGGTTGGTTGGTTACTTGCTTGCTTGCTTGCTTGCTTGGTTTGGTGTGGTCTGGCTTGGTTTGAGACAGGGTCTCATTATGTGGTTCGGGCTGATCTTGAACTCACGATGTAGCCCAGGTTGGCTTCAGACCCGCAGCGATCCTCCTGCCTCACCACTCAGCCTCCTGAGCACTGGGGTTACAGACACTGCCACCATGCCCAGTCTGCTGACTGGTTTGTATAGTACAGGACAGACTGACTGATTTCTAGAACAGACTGTTTACTGATAGAACAAAACATTCCTAGGGAGCTTTGTGAGTTTAATAACAGCTTTAAACCAAAAAAAAGGTATTAAAAAATAGGTATGGCCCCGGCCGCAGCCCCTAGAGGACTGGTCTCTTGTCACGATTTCTCTCTAGAACATCTTGCCAGGCCGGTCACTGTTCCCAGAGACATGTTAACTGAGGCTTTAAAAAAGAAGGCCCATAGCTAAGTATGGTCCAAGGGTCACAGGCAAATGAGTTACTGCGGCAGGGCAGCTTGAAGCCTGGCAGGCCTTCTTCCCTACAGGTTTAAATTCATACTTAGCTCCAGTTAGTGTCTTTCCACACCCAAGCCCAGCCTGCATGGAAAAGTTAAATTGCCTTTAATGACCTATCCCGTTAGAGGGAACTGTTATATGAGGCTATCAAAACAGCAGTTTTGGGTCATCAGCTGTTACTATCCAACAACCATGACCATCAAAGCAATGAGTAGAGCCTGTGCACACAGGTATTCCAGTCTGAGAGGCAATCGGTCTGGGGCTCACCTTATAAACTGTCTTTGTTTTCACAGGTCTGACTTTTTCTTTTTTTTTTGAGGCAGGGTCTCTCTACACAGTTCAGGCTGGTCTTGAGCTCACTTTGTAGCCTACGTTGGTCACAATGATCCTCTTGTCTCAGCCTCCCAAGTGCTGGGATTACAGGCGTGAGCCACCACGCCCAGCTAGGTCTGAGTTTTCTTATAAGAGATCTTTGTTAATTGACCTACAAAAAGGTCTGACTAGTCTATTTATAGTTACAAACTTAAAAACTACAAAAGTTATTATAACTCAACTTGACCAAATATACCCTAGTGCTTTCTGGTCTATTAACAGCTGTCTCATGTAAGCTGTCTGTCTGTTCTGTTTTTATTTCAGCTCAACAATTGTTTTCTTCTTTTTGTCTTTTTGGATTCTAAAATATCTGTCTACAATTTAAATTGGCTTATAGGTGTCATTAAGAGGTAAGCACATTCTTTCCCTGCAGTGGCCAGCTGATCAAAATGATGTCAAGACTGGCTTTATAAATACCATGCACACCGTTGTCTATGTACAATCTCTCATGGGTTAAGAATAATGTGCTTTTATGATCTAGTTCTGAAAGTTCTCCAAAATTTCATTAAGAATTCAACGGGAGGGGCTGGGGATTTAGCTCAGCGGCATAAGTGCCTGCCTTGCAAGCAGGCAGTCCTGAGTTCGATCCCTGGTACAAATAAAAAGGAAAAAAAAAGAATTCAACGGGGACCCTTAGGCTTAGGGAAACTAAAGGACAGACTTCCGCTTGGCAAATCAAGAAGCAGTTCCCTCAAAATATTTTTTCACCAATGGGACCCCAATAGTTTCCATTGAGTTATGGGAGATACACCCTAGTGAATGTTGCTAAACGTATTACTATGATATGCTTACACTGACCATTGTCAAAAGGTTAAATTTCTGTGGGAAAAACAATAACGTTTCATTAAAAGATGCTGTTGGTATAAAACTAAGGGGCAAAAGGGGTCAGACAGCTCTGATACTCATTATTGCTAACTTTAAGAAGTACTAAATGTGATGCCTTCTGGGTGTACAGGTTTTCTACAAACCAAGATTACTTTTAATAGCAACATTTTTAGAGTCAGATCTGCTTTTCTCTTGTGCTACTGCTACTTGTCAAGCCAGCGTGAGATCACCAAATGATAGCTTTTTAAAACATGTGATGAGTGTATGATGTGTGTGTGTGTCTATACCAAACGGCCCCAACAATGTCTAGACATGACAAACTTCTAAGATACATTTATAGGCCAGTATATTCTCCTTAGATGACATCCTATTAAAAGGTAACAAATTAGATGTAAGTTTCTTTGTGTCATTGTGACATAACTATGTCAACTTGAGCAGTTTAGAAGTTTAACTAAGAGACTCAGCAGGGAGCCGGGGTTCTTACTTTGCAAATATACTCATCGTGTGCAAAGGCAGGCAAGATTGTGGGAGCCCCTGCGTCTGCCCTGGGTGGGTGGGAGGTGGCCTGCATGTACTACAAGGGAGAAGAGGCTTGTTTTCTCTCCTTTTGCTCTGGCTGCTGCCTTAAAGCCTTGTCCCAGTGCCATGCCACCCTGCCTTGGAGCCAGCTGATTAGGAACTAAAACTTCCACAAGAGTGAGCTCAATAAATCTTTCATTCCCCTTCATTTTGGGTGTTGAGTATTTTGTCCTAGCAACAAGAAAAAAGTAGACAAGACAGTCATTTAATAACTTGTTATCAGATGGAGATGCTTGACTAAAAATGCTATTCTATCCTAAAGTGAACATTATGTTGCAAAAATAATGTCATAATTACCATGCTGAAATACTATGTATGGCTTTTGATCTCAATTTTTCTCTGTAAAATTATGTAACTGTTGTCTGTTAACATTCTGCAGCGATTCAGCTACTAAAACAACCATTGTTGGTAAGAAGTAACAGTCCTCTAGCTATACTTTACATTTTGAAGTGCTTAATAACCAGATAAAATTATAATAGTTAAACTCACTGCTCCCACTATAATGAATATGCACTGATCTTCTCTTCTGGGTGTTCAATAACTAAAATTTAGGGACTGGAACTAGAAATTTAATTGGGCTAAGAGAACCCACCCCTCAAAGGTCAATGAGGACAAGAATCAACAAGTGTACAATGTGCCAAAGGAGGGTCACCAAGAGGGAAAAGGCTCCCCTGCTTTCCCAGAAAGCCACATGGTCAAGCAAGGTGGTGACCCATCCTGATGGTTGATGCTGATGGAGGAACTGAGTGGCTCTGTACATGGTTTCAAAGTCATGCCTGAAGATGATCCAGGTGTGGTGGTGCATGCCTGTAGTCCCAGCACTCAGGTGGCTGAGGCAAGAGGATCACGTTACAAATTCAAAACCAGCCTGGGCTACATAGTGCATTCAAGGCCAACCTGAACTGCATA